AACGCTTTGCTGATTATTAGTGTAGTTTGTATTAAATTGCTTACTGAATAGTTATGCTCTTCTTTTGCAAAATGCCTGTTTATCCTTTGCTCATTCATTGACAGATATACATGTACTTCTTTAATGACTTATATAAAAATTATTCCTCTTGGTAATTTACATATATACTTAGTATTCAAATTTACTCTGTGACTCTTCGTAGTTTAATGAAAGAATTTTTAATTCTTTACTTAAATTTATTTTTTAATGTTTTGTGCCTTATTTAAGAAACTTCATGCTATGAATTTAACAGAAAAGTTTTTTCGCTATTTTTTTAAATCTTAGTTTTTCATTTGAGATATACTTATTTAATAAGGGGAAATTGATTTTTTGTGTATAAAAATAGCTAATTTTAGAAAATAACTTTTACTAATCCTTTTTTATTGCACTAGTCATTTATAGTCATTTCTACAATCTGCTATGCCACATTTGTCATGTATAAAGTTTTCAGATAAGATTTTATCTATTTCTGGCTTTTACCCCACTGGCAAACTTTGTCTTCATATTTTAATCATTTCACAGGCTGATAGGCTTCATGTTTTAATATCTAGTATGACAGTTCTTTTTCATGTTCCTTATTATTTGTTTTTTGAGTTATTTGAATATTATTAATACATTATTTTTCCACATAAATTTTAAATCAGTTTATCATATTATGTGAGAAAAGTCATTGGGGTATCTGACATAATTTAATTCATGCATTCTTTTATTAAGTAGTTGAATTTAGTCACTTGCAGAGTTTCTTAGATTTCATCATGTCTATTGTACTATCAGTTGAAGGAAATTTAGAGGAGAAGACTTTATAGGAAAGATAAGCAGATTACTGAATAATGTTAGAATATTAGTTCATAACATAATTAATCACTCTATATATGTGCATGTAATGTGTGTCCCTGAATATGTATCAATTAGCCATATAGTTTCCTGTGCTTTCCATTTATTTGTATTATTGTTCTGTTTGATGAAATTTATAAACTGTTCAAATTTTTCTCCTGTTTGTTGCATTTTATTGCATTCATTTATTTTTTAGTTATTTACTAGTATATTTTTGCAGTACATTATAGCTGCATTCAATAAATGGAGACGCGATACATTTAGCATTATGGCCTCAAGGTGCATCTTTTTTCATAACAATGACACAAATTTCTATTTCTTTTGAGTGATTATACTCCACTGGGTACATATACTACATTTGCTTTACGCACTCATTTGTTAATAAGTGGAAGGGCTGCTTTCAAAATTTAGCTATCATGAGTTCTATTGCTATAAATGTGGGTATGCATATATCATTCTGATAGGATTCTTTCATTTTTTCAGTAAAATACCTAGAGGACCAAAGGCTGGGTCAAATGGAATTCCAGGTTTAATTTTTTTGTCATCTACAAATTCTCCCATGCTGGTAGTTCCTCTAACATCTCACAAAAGCATTTTGCCAGTCCGCTAAGAGTTTATATTTTGTCTGTTCCTAGTTGTATTTTCCTTTCCTCTGCTTTCACTATCTAATCAAATCCCCTTCTACTTATGAAAATATCCCAAAAATATTTCATGTTTTCCATGAAATAGGCTATGGTAGGTATAAGTATAAGAATAGTAGAGTATGGTAGCTGAAGAGAATTGCATATACCCAAACTAACATCTTGAATTGAAGATCACTTATGAACCTTAGAGAATCTGATTATATACTCCTTGCATTTCTGGTAATTGATTCCTCTTACAATCCATACTATTGTTAAGATATAGCTATAGAACGTGATCCCAGCTAGGGGATCCAGAAGAGACATAATATAATGGAAAACTAAATTGTTTGTGGAGTAGAAAATAATTTTTTTATTTACCACTCTTGGTGAGTATGTTAATATTCAATGAACGTTATGCATTTCTGATTGTGTGGGAATTCCTTTGGGAAGAAGCAGCATTTGAATTGGCCCTTGAGGAAGAACTAGATTTAAAAACAACGATGTGAAAGGGGAGAAAATTATGTAGGAATAATAATATAAAGGTAAGAGTCAGATTGGGAAATATAAACATAAATATATTTGTGAAAGGTGAAAGATTTATAAAATCTGAAGAGAAATCAGAGCTTATATATGCATATTTGGGAAATAATAAGTATAATTTGTTCAAAATATAGTTACATATATGAAATATAGAATTGAAAATTTTATCAGCGAGTTTAAGTGAAGTTTACTGATTGTTTTGTGAAATGTTTAAAATTTGATTTTTATTCAAGTCTTTTATTTTGACAGTTTGAAACATGTTTGGAAAAATGGTAAGAAAATTACATGCTTCTTTTTTATGTTCGAATTTTGATAATCTTTATATGGTCAGTTTTGCTTCAAAAAGAAAGAAACTGAAAGCAAAAAGGGTTACTTTAAATGTTGAAATATATTTTTTAAAATATAAGCAAGAGGATTTTAGTGCAAGTGAAAGAACGGATGCCTCCATATCACTATTCATACAAAAAAATTCCCAAAAAGTAGGCAAAAAATTTCAAGACTTGCAAAAATCTGAAATCTAGTAAAAAATTTGCAACAAGCAAGCAAAAGCTTACTTTAAAGAAGCTGCAAGATCTCGTTAGGAGAGCACTATAGCCTTTGAAGTTGGCTGTTTTCCACTCTCATCTATGTATGTTTCTATGCTGGCCATGTAGATCGCATCCCACAGTTAAGTAGATTTCTAGTGCTAATAGGAATAATTCTTTATTTTTGAAGAATTGTGTTTGAGCATTTTGACTTTCCTGACTGTTTAAGAGAAACCAGCACAAAGGCTTGCTTTTGTTTTACCTGAGTCAGAAAAACCACAGGCGGAGGTACCTTCTAGCCTGTACTTTCTGAAAGTATTTGAAGATATACACCTGCCACTGCAGCTTCGAGAAATGGGTGAGAAGTGAGCAAGCATTGCACAGATCAAAACACAGGGGAAGAAATGGTTAGAAAAAGATTTATGTGAAGGAGTAGGGTTCTTCAAAGATTTCAATATATTACAGAATCCAGAAATACACAGATATAATGAGAACTAGAAATATGCTCAGAAAATACATGAGATGATCATAGTCCTTTCCTCTGGCTGCTGTTTAGATGTGCACGAGGAACCATGGAATGGAGAAGCAGGATTCCAAACAGCCTGGATAAGCATTGAATGAGTACCATGACACAGAGCCAATCACCTGTCCTTGGGAGAGTTTCTTCTTCTTTTTCCTTTCTTTTGGTTCTGAGGCAATTAAAGTATAACAGTAAAAGTATTAGCTTACCAGCTAGCTAAGTAAAGATTTCAGTGGTCATACATGACAAAAAATACAAGCATTTCAAAAAATGTTTAGAAAAGTCATTGAACAAAAAAGGACCTCAGAACAAATAGTAATAGTGGATGTAATAGAGGGAGGTAATGTGATATCCATTCCACATTAAAATACTCAAAATGTCCAGGTTTCTAGAAAAAAATGAATAGACAAAGAAGAAAAGAGAAAGCTGGACCCCTTCTTGACAAGAAATAACAGTTTATATAAACTATTCCTGGGGAAACCGGAATTTGTACTTACTGGAAAAAGATTTTAAATAAACTGATTTATTTTAAATAAAAAGATTTTAAATATTCTCAATAAGAGAAAGGAAACCATAGACAATGAACTAAGTTAAATTAATGGAATGATGTCTGAAAAATATGGAAGATAAAAATGTAAATCATAAATAATAAAGCAAAGAGAAAGTCAGTAGCCAAAAAGTTAAATAACTGAAGTATAAACTTCACACTAGAGGTTCAGCAACAAATTTGAGCAGGCAGAAGAAAGAATCAGTAAACCTGATAGGTCAACAGAGGTAATCCAGTTTCTGAAATAGAACAAAAAGAGAATCAAGAAAATGAAGAATACCCAAGAAACCTGAGGGACACATAGAGCATAGAAATATATCCATACTAGATTTCTTACAGTGTAAGGGAAGAGAAAGTGGGATATAAATAATATTTGAATAAAAATTGACCTCAGAACTTTCAAAACTGGATGAAAGACATGAATCTATAAATTCATTAAAGTAAGTAAACTTCAAGTAGGATCAAAGTCAAAGAGAGTCAAAGCAATATAGATGTTAGTCAATTTATTGAAAGCTTGGAACAAAAAGAGAATCTTGAAAGAACCAAATCATGTGAATTGTCAAGAAGAAGATATCCTCAATCAAATTAATAGTTAATTTCTTACCACAAATTATGAAGGAATGACATATTTAAATGCTGTAAGGAGGGAGAGAAGACCCTCTCTTTCAAGAATCTGGAAATTTGGTAAAGGTATTCTTCAAAAAATAAATGAGAAATTGAGAAATGTCCAGATAAACAAAAAAATGAGGGAGTGTGGGTGTAAGGGAGTGTATCACTAACAGACTATTCCCTTGTGAAATACTCCAGATAATCCTTTCAAGCTGAAATAAAAGAACACTAGATAGTAACTGAAAATTGTGAAGAATTAAAGAAAAATAATGATAACTAAAAGGTAAATATAAAAATCACTTTAATTCCAACTTTGTCTTATAACTCTGCTTTAGTTCTTTATATAGCCCATAAATATAGATATGAGTCGACGGACACACAATGTATAAATGTGTAATTTGTAAGAGGGACTAAAGGAAAAGGCAGAGATAGATATAAATGAGCAGTTTTAAGAAATCTTATTGAAACTATATTGACTATAATTCAGACAATTTTTATAAAGTTAAAATATTAATTGACAGCCCAGGTAACCACTAAGATTCTTTAAAAATCTTTAAAAGTAAAGATTCTTTAAAAGTAAATAGAAAACTAAAACAACATACTAGAAAAAAAAATCACAAAAGGTAGCACTTATGGAGGAACCAAGAAATAGAAAATGTACAGATATTGTATAAAAAAACAGCAAAATTCCAGAAATAAATCCTCCCTTATGAGTAGTTTTTTTACATAAAAATTAATTAAGCCCTAATTAAAGTGGAAAGGTGGGTAATGAAATATCTCACTCTATGCTGTCTATAACATATTTGAGATCCAAAGATACAAGTATGTTAGAAGTAAAACGATGGAAAGAAAAAAATTCATCCAAATAATAACTGAAAGAGGGCTAGGTGGCTGTGCTAATATCACACACAAATGAGTATAAAAGAAAACCAATTTCAGGAGACAAAGATATATTGATTGATATATTTGTTATATTGAAATATTGATTTGATATATGAATAAAAATGTCATAGAACTGAAGGAAAAATAGACATTTCTTTAAGAAAAGTTTCAGAATTCAATTCTTCCTCTTTCCAATATGAATAAAAGAGCTAAAATGAAGATCAGTTAGGCGATAGACTTGAACCACCCAACAACCAGCTAAATCTAATCAACTTACATATTTTGCTCACTCAATAGCAGCAAAAGCATATTCTTCTCATAGGCACATGAGACACTCTTCAGAATATATCGCATGAGACCTCAAAACAAAGCTCAAATAAAATAGAAAGATCAAACTCATACAAACTTTCATTTCTGAATAAAACAAAATGGAGATCAGTAACAGAGATAAAGCTATGTGGGAATATATGTGGAAGTTCCACATTTCTATGTAGAAGTTAAACAAAAGAAAACCATTATTGGGGTTATTATTGAAGTAATAATCCCATCAAAGAAAACTCCAGTCTGAGATGGCTGGTTAATTCTATTACACACTGGAAAAAGGAATTAATATGAATCCTTCTAACAATCTTCCAAAACTAGAAGAGAATGGATTGAAGCAGTAAATACAGAAGAAATTAACAATATTTTGAGATGCATGTACCAAAACTTATACTGTGCAGTAAAAGCAGTTCTCAGAGGAAAATTTAGAGCTCTAAATGTAGACATTGAAAAGATTCCCAAGCCATTAATCTAACTTTATACTTCAATAAACTGGAAAAGGAGCAATAAACTAAACCTAAAGTTAGCAAAAGGAAAGAAATAAGAAATAGTAAAGTAATGACAAATTAAAACAATAAAAATAAATTAAAACAAAAGTTGTTTCTTTGAATACATCAGCCCAATTCACAAACCTTTATTTATACTAACAAAAGACATCTCAAATTAACAAAATTTGATCAGTATGTTGCAATTGATCCTATGGAAATAAAAGAATGTTGTGAACAGTTGTATAACAACAAATTTAATAACCAACCTAAAAGGCAGTAATTCCTAGAAACACATTATCTACCACAATTTCTTCAGGAAGAACATCTTAACTGACCTGTGAAAAGTAAAGATATTGAAATAATAATCCCAACAAAGAAAACTCCAATCTCAGATGGCTGGTTAATTCTATGAAACATTGGAAAAAGGAATTAATATCAATCCTTCTTACAATCTTCGAAAACTAGAAGAGGATATTTGCTAATTCATTCTAGGAGACCAGTGTTAACCATGGTATCAAAATCAGATAAAGACATTGTAAGAAAGTTGCACGGATGATTCTTAGAATATAGATGCCAAAATCTAAGTAACCTAGTTTTGAATCTAGTAACTCTATTAATAGAATTATACATCATAGCCCAGATGGATTTATTCCAAGAATACAAAAGTGATTTAATATACAAATATCAATCAATGTAAGACCATTATTAGGAAATGAAAGATAAAATCCACTTGAATATTTCAATGGGAAAAACATGTTGCACAAAGCAATACCTTTCAGAATGAAAACACTCAAAGAATGTTGATTATAAGGGAAATTCTTAAACACAATTAAGGACATTCATGAAAAACCCTTGGCTCATACTACACTTCATTATGAAGACTGAAAATTTCAGCTTAGATCAAGAGCAAGATAAAGGTGCCTGTCTCATCACTTCTATTCATCATTTGAAGAATTCTTTTACCTCACGGGCATAGATTGAAAATGATTCAGACATTAAAAAACAGTTTTCTGGTTCCTCAAAAACTTAAATGTAAAATTATCATATGAGCCAGAAGTTCTAGTGAGGTGTTACTGTATGTCCAATGAAGTATTTGAAACAAGTGTTCAAAGTAAAAAAATGTACAAATACTCATAAAATAAGTAAGTATTCACAACAGCTGAAAGGTAGAGACACCCCCAAATCCATTGATGAATTAATAGAAAACTTACAGCTTAACCATACAATGAAATATTATGCTATGAAAAAATGAATTTATGATAATACTGTAATAGGGATAAGCCTCAAAACTATTGTGCCAATTTGAAGACTCGAGATGTAGAATGCCATCTTTATACAATTCTGTTTGTGTGAAGTATCCATAGTCAGTATGTCCATGGAGATAGAAAGCAAATTGGTCTGGCTTATGCCTAGTTGGAATGAAATGGAAGTGACTGCTTAATCAAATGGTTAATTTTACATGATATTACTTAATAAATAGCAATACACCTCAATAATTTGCCATATTATGTAATTAGCTTTAGAAGCCAGTGGGGTATTATTTACTAATAGAATCTGGAATAAGATTTTTGTTTTTGTTTTTTAAAGCAGACAGACCAGAAAAAATATTTTGCAATGAAAACTAAAATGTTTTTCAATGAAAATTGAAACTAAAGGAAGAAAGAATAATAAATACTTTCCTAGTCTTAGAAAATAAAAGCTTTCCTAAATAACTTGCGAATCAATAAGAATAATAACATGCAGCCATTGGAAATATTGAATGGCATTAAAATATACTGGAAACAATGTCATGTAACTAAAGCAGAATACTTTGTTGTTGATACTGATTTTATTAAAATTTTAATAAATGAAAAAATACCTTTTAAAGCTAAAAACCTAGTTTAATATCCTAGAATTGGATCAGAAAAATAATGATAATGAGGAATATTTCATTATTCAACATAAAGAAACAGATTTAAAAGGTATTTTAGAAAGAAAATAACATTTTAATTTGGGCATTTTTCTAAAATTTTATTAACTTTAAATCTAGAATGGTATTTTTACTCTTTGTAATTTGTATTGGTTTCCCAGAAATCACTAAACTCAAATTAGAGAACTGCTATATCTCTTTTCAATTATTTTCAAATACCCCTTTTCTCCAGGAAAAACTAATTTCTTTTCAGAAAGTAGCTTTAATATCCATCCAAAAAGCATTTATAACAAATTTTAAATTTCTATTAATTTTTCATTAAGTGCAAATCCCAATACCTGTTAAAATTTCCCTATTTTACACCTCAATGTACTGGAATTACTATGTGTAGTACAGTTAACACAAACATTTAATATTTCATGTAATACCATCACCTACATTTTTTTTACTGTTTATTAAATATATTCCTCCTTTACTAAATCCCTCCTTCTATAGGAGATCTTCTCCCTCAACTCTGAAAGAAGATTGGAGTACTGCTACAACAGAGAAAAAAGTCAAACAAGAAGAAAAGAAAGGTAAACTTATTCTTTATACTTAGATAAATGTAATTATATTTAAACTCATTGAGTTATTACTTATTAAATTTATACTTTTCACAATAATCATTATCTTGTGTTTTACAATTTTGTGATTATTGAATAAAGAAAAAATCCTTCATATCATTTGATGAGGCATTCATTCAACAAACATTTATTAATTGCTATTGTATACAGGACAGTGGTCTACAATCTGGGAATATAAGGATACAGGGCCACATTTTAAGAAGCTAACTATAATTCAGAGTTGTTCAGTAGAACTTTCTGTGATAATGAAACTATTTTACAACTGTCCTCTAATACAGCAGCCAACAGCTACACATAGAGCAGTTGAACATGTGGAATGTGGTGAAATTCTGGAAATTCTTTCTAGATTAACATATTTAACTGTACATAGCTACACCTGGTCTATGGACATTGAAACACTTGTGAATGATTAACTTGTGATTAGTATTCACTACAGTTTATAAAAGCAATATTTTATATACAATCGCAAAATGTGTGTTAAAATTACTTCAATGTACTTGGAAATATTTTTGAGGTTGTACTAAATTTTTTATCTGTGACTACTACAAAATTTACTAATTTCTTTCACCTTTGGTGAAGGATACCACTTTACTCTGGACTTTATTTTTAAAGAGAAAAAAATTAAAACAACAATGAAGACAAAAATAAAACAATAATACTGACACGTGACCTCAAAACAAAATGATAGGAATTAACAAATGGTTGCTACAATACCTACTGTTATCCTCACTGAAGTTGCTCAGTCCCGCAGAAGTAATAATGTAAGATTGATCAATCACTTTTTAGGGCAAAAATATTTGTTCTTTAAAGCTTTCACTCATAGGGAAGCTTTGCTTTGACTGTTTTTCTTTACTTTTTTTTTTATTTTTTGGTTTTTCTCCGGTACCGGGAACCGAACTCACGACCTTGCACTTGCCAGGCAGGCGCTTTTGCCGCTGAGCTAAATCCCCAGCCCCTGTTTTTCTTTACAATATTTGTGTGTACAGAGAAAAAAGCAATGTCAATATTTACTTAGAAGATTTCACATGAGAAATGTTAAGAGAAAATATAATATGTTAATATTTATAATCACAATTAAATTGTTTGTTATATATATGTTTATTATAACTCTGCGCATTTGGGTCTAAAACACAGCAATAGCAGAATGGGGGATTTTAAGTAAATATTTATTTTAAAAGTTGAATGTAGTGGTTTACTTAGTCAATATGAAATAGTGATCATGATGATATATGCAGAATATTACACAGATATTTAATACAGTGAATCAGAGGTGCCCCAGGTTATATTTACTTGTATCATTTCTTTTAGATTGCTATTATAGATACAAAATAAAACATAGCTTGTACAATGAACAACTCTGTAAAACACATATAAGTCTAATCCAAAATATTTTGATTGTTAATTTCTTTGTGTGATTCAGACTGAAGTCATAAAACTCATCATAGAATGAATCATAAATTATCTGAAGAATTCAGTGTTTAATGAGTATATTTTTATGAAAAATGCAGTTATCAATTTAAAGTACTCAGGATATTGCAGAATTTGGCAAAAGAAAAGAACAGATTCAAAACTAGCAAATGAACCACCAGACAAGAGAAAATCACTTTTGTGCATTAAAGTAGAGAAATCTGTATCTCAAGAATTTTCCTGCCAGGAAGTGTGCAGAAAATCTCTGACAAGGCCATGAGGTTAGAAATAGAGACTGTATAGCTGGGCTTAGAGGTGCGACCTGTAATCCCATCACTCTGGGAGTCTGATACAGGAGAAGTGCATGTTCAAGGCCAGCTTTGGCAGATTAGCAAGTGAGTCCCTTTCTCAAAAAGAAAAAGAAAAATTTCTGGGGATATTGGTCAATGCAAAGGTCCTGGGTTCAATTCCCAGTACTGGAAAAATAAAATAAAAATATAGGGACCGTGTTACTACTGAGTTAACTATTATGTAATACCAGCATGCAGCAGAAAAATCATTATCTTTATTTTCTAAAAGCAGACCAAAAAAGAAATCTATTCATTTTGTTTTCTTAATGCAGTTTTACTATTTTATCACTATTATTTTTACTATTTTATCACTATTTTATCACTAACCTCAACTCTTTGGTGACCTTGTCTTTCTTGACACTTTGTGTCTATGCATTCTTGTCATGTTTTGAAAAAAGTCTTTGTTTAGTAAGCAGAAATCCCACCAGGATAGGGCTTTTATCTCTCTTCTTTACCTTATCTCCAAGTGGGAGCATATTGCCAAGAAAATAAGAGTGTGTTCACATTTGCTCATACTCTAGATGAATAAACACCCATGGTAATACCTGTGTTAACATTAAGGCATATCATTCCAGAACTGTGAACCAAGAATTGCAAGTACGTCTCATTAAAGGAATTAATTTATATTAAAACTAAGTAAATAAAATTTGCAAATCATGATGAATTCCTTGTAAGGATAAGTAAAAAAGTTATTATCTAATAAGATTGAAGAATATCAAGTGGTTTTTCTAGAAACCATCTGAGAATTTCCAGTCTTTATCTAATGTAATCACTGTCACTTATTTTCTTATAGAATGGAAGAAAACACAGGCCTAATTTTAAAATAAAGCTCTGTGATACAGATAGAATAGGACGCATGCTTTTTTCCTTTCAATAAATTTACTTTTCATGAAGATATTGGATTTTAAAAATATTTTATTAAAATATCTGTCTTTGGAAGTTTTCAAATCAATTTATTTGAAATGTATTGCATTGTAATAAAACTGCCTTTTAAAAGGTTAATTCAGTTTTCTAAAATACTGTTATTAGTGAGACAATGCGATGTTTACATATATGAGCCTGATTTATTTCAATTATGCATATGGTCTCCAGTTGCATCCATTTACCTATAAAAGTGTTGAGTTTATCCTTCCTAAATGGCTGAGTAGTACTCCATTATATTAAAAAAACACATTTTATCCATTCCTTGGTTGATGAGCATTTGAGTTGAAAAGCTGAACAAGTAAATTAGATCCAAAATGTACAATAGATTTTGTGAACTGGGGAGAAACTGTTCAAAAGAAAAGAGAAACAGATGGGAAAAGGGGAAAGGAAGAAAGAGAAAAGGGAAGAATATATGCAAGATTGTTAAGGTAGTTATATAGCTCGTTTCTCTTAGTTCATTGAAAAGAAAGATCTGTGCTAATATTGTCTGGACATTAGCTCATGCCTATATCTTGTACTCTGAGTAACTGCTGTGACCATAGCAATACAAAATGTATCAATTATTTTTACTCTCCTATTAGCCTGATTTGAAACTCTGTTTTCTTGTATATCTATTTTTCTTCTTCTTCTCTTTAAAATGAAAAATATAAAATATTATTAAGTATATAAATATTTAAAATAATAATAAAATACAACTTAGACTTGTGTTTGTATCGCTTGGCTTACAGAGCAATAAGTTAAAAAGTGAAAAATATTCTTATTTTAAGGTGAAAACTATCAAGAATTAAAGCAAGAAATGGAAACCTTGCTGTCAGAGACCATCCATCTTATCAAAAGCCTGGAAACTGACCGAGCAGAAGCTGAACAAGCCTTAAAACAACAAAAATCAAGAAAGAAATTGATTATCATGAGAATTGACTCTTGGTCTATCTGGAGACTTCAAGAACTACCACTAGCTGTGCAGAAAGGTAACAATAAGGACTTTCCACATTGTTATTCACTTCACAAGCACAGAAAATGAGTTGCAGTTCTGGATACAAAACCACCCATTCAGGGTTTCAGTATTTCACTTACAAAGTAGGGCATATTTACTGAGTTTATTAATGGCTGAACTTGCAGGCAATGGGGACTGTGCAAATGTGAACCTGCAGACATTTGAGTATTTTGGAAATGCTATACATTTACTGTACCCCATGTTTACACAAATATTTAACACATTTGTTGTATGATTCTAGTATTTGAGTTTCCAGAAATTGAAAATTTAAAGTGACTACCAATTGAAATTGAAACTTTAAGTGACATATTGTGGGCCATGTGAAACAATTTTTGAAAATTCAACAGTATATTTAGTTTGAAAGGTACTTCTAGCAATGATGGCACCTTATTAAATAACTTACAATGTATGTGAATACTGAATTGAATTTTTACATTAGGAAGGGGCATGCTTCCAAATTCAGGTTGAATCAGGTAATCATGTTTTGATAGGCAGTGTTTAAAGAACAAAAGAAAAATTAAATACAATTATATTGTATGATAGTTTACCGTATGTCCCTTCCTCTCCAGTCTAAAGGATAGGGGTTTCTTCTTAAACATTTGTTAATGATGTGACCTTGAAAACATTTCAGAAGTCCATCATTGATAGAAAGATTTTAACTAAATAATTTTAAAAACTTATTCAAAAACATAGCAATACATACATACATACTGTTATGGTTTGTATCTAGGTGTCCGTCCAGAGCCTTCTATAGTCCTAGGTAGGAGTTTTGGAAGGTGGATGGATCTAGAGTGTGATGCTGAGATTAAGGAAGTGGTACTGGGGTTGATTCGTGGTGTGATGCTAAAATTAAAGGTGCTGCATCCTGTGTGTGAGTATTGTGCTCCCTAAGGGTTGGTAGCCTTAATATAATATAAAGGACACAAAAATGGCAGCTGTTGCTGCTTACCACTGCTTCCTTGCTATTTCACTGCTTTCCTGCCTTCCTGCCTTCTGCCTGCCATGAACTGTTTCTCCTTTGCAATGCCCCTCTGCCATATAATCTTGCCTTGGAATCAGCTGACTATGGACTGAAACCTCTACAAACTGTGAGCTGAAATAACCCTTTCCTCCCTTAAATTTGGGTGCTTGGTATTCTGTCTCAGTAATAAGAAAAGTAAGACATATATACATATATATGTATCTATATATACATATATATAGATACATATATACATTCTCAAGAAATAGAGGTTTATGCATAATTTGATAGTTCTACAAAATCCCAGGAAGAAATCTAAAAATATGTTGACTGATATTAGAAAGTAGCATAAACTATAAGCCAAATAATAAAAACTGAAATAAACTCAGTCCTAAGTCATAAATATAAATGTAAGAAAAATCCTAAGTGATGACACTGGCAAATTCTTTCAAGAAATTGCAAAAAGGTTTTAAGAACCCCACCCAATCTAGTTGTATTCCAAGAATAAATAGTTACAAATTTGTATAATGAGGAAATCCTTTCATCTAGTTTGTCTGAATATCTCTTAGCTAGTTGAGGAAATTTGATTAAATTTTAAAATAAAAAGCAATGGAGAGAAATTTCCCAATTCAAAATTTCAAACATTTTTATACAGAAAAATAATATTTTCCTTGTATTCAAATTTATTTTGAATTTTAACATTATTTTGCTATTTTCTTCATATAGGCCTTTCCAAACTCAAGTTAGGATTGTTCATAGATTGATGCAGCTTATGTATGTTATAGTTTTATAGTTGTGAGATTATTTTATCTTTAACATACTCCTTATGGAAACATTTATTTTCTATACGAACTTTACATGAATAACGCTATTGTTTTAATAATTTTCATTTTTGTGTGTTTTTGCTATACACTTCCTATTTCATCATGTTACTTCCCGGTGATTTTGAAAGGTGGCCAGCCATTTTTCTAATTTTGGAGCAGTTACTGGGTGTGTCTATGTAGTGATCAGTGCATCTATTGATCATAATAAGTGAGATTTATACTGAAACTATTATTAACTTATAAAACACATTTAATACTTTTGGTGATGAATAAAGAAAACAGTACTTTTTTTTTTTTTTTTTTTTTTTGGTTTTTGGTTTTTCTCCGGTACCGGGAACCGAACTCACAACCTTGCGCTTGCCAGGCAGGCGCTTTGCCGCTGAGCTAAATCCCCAGCCCCAAAAGCAGTACATTTTATAGTGCAGTATTAAAATAACCCTTTCTTTTGGTTTAGCAAGATTCATAGACAATTAATTTCTGAAACCAAAATAGCTCATATTTGTTATCACATTTTTTTTCCCTAGCACTTTTGTTTCAAATCTGATTGTCTATTGTTCACATTCTTGTACCTCTAGAACACCAGGCCTATTTGAGAGATATTATAGAATTAAGGTGGCACCTGGAAGACAGAAAGCGTCAGCTGGAACATCTGGAGAAACAAAAGACACAGCTAGAGGAAGCGAACGCAAAGCTTCAGGCGGATATAGACTTCATGCAGGATCGCATAGCTCTGCTGGACTCAAAGCGGAGGCAGGAAGTGGCAATTCTGCAGGAACTTTACGAAAAAAAATTTGAGGTAAAAGAATACAGGAATGGATCTGTGTGTTACATAGTATTATTTTTGCAAAAATATTACAACCATAAAAATTCACATATCTTTAAAGGTTTCATTTTACTCAGAATCAACCTGCTTTGAATTTCTGAGAGTTTAGCAAGGTATATCCATACATAATTCTTAATTTTCTTTTCTTGACCAAATTTGCATGCTTAGATCTGGTGATCTGAACAACTAATTTGAAAACAACACTGCAATATAACAACCATTGTTGAATTCCTACCATCTGGTTTAGTGAAGCTCTGTATCGTTTCTAATTTTTTTTATTACTTTTTATTCTCTTTAATTGTTTGATCAACCTTGCATTTTTACATCTGGTAATCTGAGCAACTTTGTTGAAGATAACAATATGAAATATAACAAGTATTGTTAATTCCTATCATCTTGTTTTGAAATCCTGTATTACTTTTTGTTGTTTTGCTTTGTCTTTGTTGTTATTTTAATTTTCTCTTTAAAATAAAATTAATATATTAAAAAAGTATATCCATACAATCATTTTAACTATATCTTCTTCACTTACTTTTCTACCTAAATGATTATTAATAATGCTTAGCTATACTTAGTCTTCTAATAAATAGTTTAAAGATTCAAAGCACCTGGATGTTTTTCAAAGTCATAGTTGAACAGAAGGTAAGTAGAATATATCAGTACTTTCATTCTTACTGAAAATATATAAATGAAATAGTCTTTTTAATGGTTAACATTTACCTCTCCTATGGGGGAATCATAGAATAGAAAAATAACTTAGTTATGTCTATATAAAAAGAACAAGTCTAAATTTGCATCATATTTATTTGGGGTCCTTTTAAAGGAAATAAAACAAGTTGTTCAATGTCTTCTGTATTTACCTTTACATTTCCATTTTCCTGTTTTCTGCACCAAAAAAACATTATTAGAAGAGATCTGGTGTGCTCAGGATGATATGGGTATAGACAATAACTATGATCAGAAACTTCACATTTCTAATAAAACTGAATAATTTTATGCACACGTGACTAGAAAAAAATGTATATTATTTTAAAAGTATATAAACTATCATACATTGTGTAACTTTGAACAACTTGTTTTATATATATTGTAGCTTAGTTTGACCAAGAAACTATTGATTGCTCTAGATATAATTTAGTTATTTTATTTGTCATGTTCCATCAAGCAGATCTCTCACTAATTATTATTTATCACTTTACCTCTTTTGGATACTTTGTTTCCAATATTTGGCAATGAAACTATCATTTTGTTGCCAAATAATCACTCATGAATTTCTATGAGTGTGTGAATATTTCTTTGCTGCCTATTCTTAGCTAGTAAGATATTTACTAAGTCATGGGTTTGCATTATTTCAATTTTATTAGATAGTTCCAAGTTACACTAACAATTATATTAGTAGAGTAGTGGCAGGGGTGGAAACTTCTTAGTTTTCCACTGTGGATAAGAAGGCAAGCCCTTCTTTACTAACACATAGTTGGAAGGCAAAGTGAGATGTTTAAAGGTTATATACCACATTTTCTTTCCTCACTGTTTTTCTATGAGATGTAGGTAGGAATTATTGGATTGATTGTTAGGAAAGTTCTTTGAAATAAGCCAACTGATTCTAAAGAAGAACATTTTATAGTTTTCTAGCAACCTACATATCATGGCTACAGGTCTAAATTATTCTGTATAGCATGAAGCCAATTTAGTGTTTAAAGAGAAAGGCAAGAGGAGACTTGTATCCCTTTGTATGGGAGAAAAGTAAACTGCAATCTTGTTTAAGCAATGTGTTTACCTTGTCTATGCTACCTCTAGACAAATCTATCCTGTTTTACCCCATAGTTTCAGTAACATTGTTATTTTTTATACTTTAAAAATTTGTACCCATTCCTTGAAATTACCATCCATTTGCTGTTTTAGAGTGGTTTTCTCACAATGGACGTGGACTTGGGTGTGGAGCCACAGAAAAGCCGAGTTGTCAGGCAGTTAGCAACCAGGCTTTGGAATGGGAAAATGCAATAAAATTTATTCAGACAGACATACAGCCTGTGAAGGACACTATAATGGCTGACTTTATATGTCAGTTTTGTGCGGTCACAATGTCCAGAGAGTTGCATGTGGCCCAACATCATTCTGGATCTTTCTGAAAAGATGGGTAATATATAGATGATAGATAGATAGGTAGATAGATAGATAGGTAGATAGATAGACAGAGATAAATAGATAATTATAACATTAAATTTGTAGATTTACAGTGAAGCTAATAATCCTTCATGATATAGGTAGGCCTCAGCCATATAGTCAAAGGTCTTAACATAATAAACACTGCAAATCTCCCATAGATCTCTAACAAGTTAGTCTACACTGTAGAATTTGGACTTGCACCTCTATAATCATGTGAGAAATTCCCTCAAAATAAATTCTTCTCTGTGTATCTCCTTCCCTTTTGATCCTGTTTCTTCAAAACTCTGACTAATACAACCAACTTCAATATACTAGCCGCACTTTTAGCATTTCCACATCACTGTGCACCTACTGCATCTTAAATTGCTGGATCAGAGCCTCTATTTATCTGGCCTTAATTCAGCCTACAACTTTCCAGCTATTCCAGAGGTCAGAGTGAGGGAGACCCTGGCTCTCTCAGACTCTGTGGTGGGAGCCAGGAACTATGATAAGAAATTATCTACTATGGTGTATAATCAAGGGAAAGTAATTCCCATAATGTAGTTGAGGTACTATTAAGAAAGGTTATAAATATTATGCAGCCAAAATGTGAAAACCTTCTGCATTAAGGTGAATGAAAGCACATTTTTTGCTTACAAAATGAGCATAACTGAGAAATTTTAGAAATGAAACACAGATTTAAGAACACTGAGGTGCCCAAATACCTCCTCAGAGAGACATAATAATACTTGCAGAGAGACCACAGGAAAGTTTGACAGAATGGTGTGCCAGAGCACAGGTCTGGGACATGAGTCCATGTATACAAATATCAGCTGATTCAGATTTCAAGTACTTTTATTTTTTTACCTGTGCACCTTAGTTTCTTAATTTATAAAAGGAATATAATGAAAGTATTATAAGGTTAGTGTGTGAAAGAATAGATAAAGGGAATTAAATACAAGCAGTACCAAAACTTATGGGATGTAGTGTTCATAGGAAAATTCTCAACTGCAGACATTTGCATCAAAGGAAAGATCTCATGTCAATAATCTAACTATAGACAACGTTAAATCAGACAATGAGGATAATGCTGAACTCAGAAGCAGGAGAGAGGGAATGGTAAACATCAGAGTGGAAATAAAACTGAGACCCACCCTAATAGCTGCTTATTGCAGAGGGTCAAGTCTACACCATGAATAACTGGCCTCCCACATTCTGGTGCAGTATACACTTACTATCTTTTCCTCAGGGACAAGTCCCAGACAAATTGGGACAGCGCATATGCTCAGAACCTGCTGAAATCACAATATAGGAAGCCCCTAAAATGTAGGTAACTCCACTGGCGTGCCACATGTAAGCTGTCCCTTACAGAAAGACCTCGTTATTAATCTGGACTACAATAAAACTCTGCATGGTGGCCCTACATGGCCACCATCTGTCATTTAGATCTACAAGTAACAGAGACTTCTCTTTTACCTATCCCAAGGTCATTTTATGTATACTGATCCCCAAATAATCGTTTAATCTTTAGAAACAGGGAAAGCAGATGAAAGAATAACTGTTTATGGGTTGGAGTTTTTCTTTGGGGACATGAAAATACAATGGAATGAGACAAAAATATAGTAATAAAATATAAAGAATGTGCTAAATGCCACTGAATTATGTACTTCAGTGTAGCTCATATTTTGCTGAGTTTTACTTCAAATAAAAATGAAGTAAATGAAAAGGCATACATTTTAAAAGAAGTGTTTAAAAGATCAATGTCCCTGTTATGGTTAGACCTAAAATGTCCTTGTTTGGATGGGGCAGGTCATCGAGGTGTGACCCGGAAAATGATCCATCCTATGCCTCTTTCTTTCTGTGTTTCCTAGCTGTGATAGGTTAAGCTTTTCTCTATGACCCAGTGTCTGCCTTGTAGTCAGCCACCATGGACTGAACCCACTGGCCCCAGAGATGGAAAGCTGACTAATCTGATCTCATTTACTTATTAAAAAACTGTACTATCTATAGTGTAACCACATAAATATTTGAACATATATAGATATTCCCAGAGCAAAGATGAAGTCAAAGTCAAAATATCAACACATTATACTCAATACTAGACATAAATCTGATGATATTGTGGTTGGATTTATCTTGTAAAGAATAAAACATTCTAATGTTGTTTTATAATCCAATCCATAGAAAAAATGTACTAGTACTTATTATTTATACAGAAGAGTGAGTTTTGTCTAAGCATCTAACATACATATAATAGACTTTGACCATTCCTGATTTGCCTTTTCATTTTCTCCTTCTTTTCCCATCCTCTGGCTCTTCTCCCTTAGTTTTAGAGAAAAAATTTAAATTTAATGTGGCTGATGCATTCAATGCTACAGTCTTATGGAAATTGTACAAAATTGAGTAATAAAATCATAATTGAGTATATTACATAAAATCTTTGAGAAATACTCAATATAAGAGAATAAGATCATCCCAAGAATAATTTATTATAATAAAGCAGAAATGGCTTAACAGTGCAAGAATCTAGGTATGTAATTTGATGTATCAATATAATACAAGAAAAATGTGATGTATTCAAAAGATGTTTAGGATGTATTCATTATAATTCAAAAGCTAGTAATAATAAGTAACTAAAACAGGAAGAAAAACATTGCATATAATCAAAAAACTATTTCAAAAAGCTACTAGTATTCATGGTAATCATTTAAATGTTAAGGTCATTTCAAAGAATTGTAGAAATAAATTAGGTATATTAACATGTAATCTAACATTTGTTCGGCAACTTTTGATGATATGAAATGAATAGGAGTAGGAGATAATTATCCTAAAATGATAGAATAAAGTTTAATATATTATAACCAAAACATGAGGCAGAAGATTTTTTAAAAACAAGTCTGTATTTGTAGAAATAAAATCCCCCAATATACTTTTCCACAATGAATAAAAATAATATTTGTCCATACTGACATAGCAGTTAAAATGGAAATAGAAAATTCATATTAACAGAAATGGCCACTAAAATTTATTAAAAAATTATCAGAGCCAGATAAAATTTTAATTATAAACTTATTGAGAAGTGTAAAGAGACAATGTAGACAAGGATGTATGCTTATACAAGAAGGCTTATTATCATAGAAAAGGTCAGTCATTCTAAAATTACTATATAAAAAAATCATCAACCTCTAGTAAAATTTACTTGGACAACTTTTATCAGTTGTCTATTTGAAAATTATTCTGAGAAAAAATATTTAAAATATTGGAAAGATTTTTGTATATATGGGGTCTATTCTATTCTGCTGATGAAAATACAAGTTATTCCCCCTTTCCTAGAGAGTAAACCTTGCTTTCTAATTCAGCATAGTCTCCTTTAATGGTACTTTGAAAGAAATTCCTTGAAGAGATGCAGGCTACCTACAGATTGTTCAGCTTCTCTCTGAGGTCTTCACCACAGGAATATTTATGTTATTTATGAGATGCAGGCTACCTACAGATTGTTCAGCTTCTCTCTGAGGTCTTCATCACAGGAATATTTATGTTATGGATCTCTCGAGTTGTGCATACTGTTCATGGAATTGAACAGTATGAATTGAGTAATGAGTTGTATGTATTATAAGATGTTGTAACGTAAAAGTAATACAGGCAAGGTAGGAGGACAGACAAGGAGCTATAAAGGAAGAGATAATAGAATGTTTATCATGTTTATTAATTAATACAGATAATAAATTTAAATATTTTGGGCCATTAAGATAGTGTGATGGTTTGTGGTTCTTGGTTGAAGGGAGTACAGATGATTTTCATAATTTCTTTGTTCAACTGCATTTTCATGTTTTTCTACAATAAAATATTATTTTCACAATAAAAAGAAGCACTTTTTTATTATGTGAAAAGATAATGATTTTGTTTTGGACCTATTAATCCGGGTATTCAAGTATATGCCTAGCGTTGTTCCCTGTTAGTGCATGAAACTCTACTTCTCTAAGTATTAGACATACAATGGGGAGAAATGTGTTTATAGAACTTTTCCTTAAGTTTCAAGTACCCTAAAATAAAGCATTTTCTATAGTTAACATTGCAGCGCATGTATTAGCAAAAATATTTTTATTTCTAGGTAATGGAGATATTCAGACAAATTCATGAAGAATTTGAACAAGTTACAGAAGACTCTGAAAATGCCACATGGCAGGTTCAAGAAAATAAAGAAGAAATGGATGAAGAGATTCGTAATCACGAAATAAACCTAGAGACACAGAGGTAAGAGTTTTTCACAAGTGCTATTCATAGAATTGAGGTATAAAATTTTAATTAAAAGTATAACACATCTTACTGTTCAAAGAATTTCAGATAAAAGGAAGAGAAAGAATTTATTTTTTTTTTATTTTTTTTTTTTGGTTTTTCTCCGGTACCGGGAACCGAACTCAAGACCTTGCGCATGCCAGGCAGGTGCTTTTGCCGCTGAGCTAAATCCCCAGCCCCGAGAAAGAATTTAAATTACCCATATCTATTGTATCATAAAGTTTATGTTAAAATTAAAATATGTGTCTTTATGTAAGTAATTTATGGAAATTCCTAAAACACTGTATTTTTGTATCACTTTAAAGCTTTTTATTTATACTGCCAAAATGTCTATGAATAGGATATAAAACAGTATATACTTGTGCTTTATCCAAACTGATAACTTAATTTAAAAATGGGGCTATTTTTAAACACAAAGTATGTATCCATGCATTAATTGTAAACAGTGTTTAGTTACTTAATTTAAATTTGTTTGCTTACTAATAAAACAGAATATCTAATATAGATGGAGGATTTTTTCTTACATTTGTTTCTTGATGTGTTTTCTTTTTTTTATATGTTCATTAATTCATATACTCATCTATTATACGATGTAAATTCATATTGTGTTGGTTTTCTTCTCAAAAAAATCTTTCATCATTCTATTGTAAGTATTAAAATAGTCACAAATTAATATATTAAATATAATTTTATATATACAAATCTAATTGTCTTTGATCATTTTTAATGTTTGGAGAATTAACACATACACAAAAATGATTATGAGCATTAGTATTAAGCATACAGGTTGGTAAAGTTTTCAATATGTGCACTCATCTGTAAGCATGACCTATTTTAACATATAGAAATGTTCTTGCTCTCTGGAACTTTTTAACTCTCCCTGCTAGTCTATATTATCCTTCATCCTTACCCCAAAAAGCTAATAAACATTCTAATTTCAATAGCCATAGGTTAGTTTACCTTGTTTTGGAGTTTTGTTTAAAAGGAAATGGACAGCATACAAACTTTGACATCGATCCTCTTTTCATTCACTGTTATGTTATATATTATATCCATCCACCTATTCTTCTTCTTTTTTTCTTCCAATCACACTTTACTGGTACTTTTTAGATATATGTAATGATCACATTCATCATAGAGAATTTGTACCTGTATTGTTCTACATTCATTGCTGTGAAGTATTCTACAGTATAAGTATAGTGTAATTTTTACCTGTTTTCATATTGGTGGACATTTGGAATATTTTCTCTTTATGCCTTTCATGAAAAAACCTATGAATGTTCTTGAACCTTTCTTTTCTGTGGAAATAAGAGCTAATTTTTCCCGGGTGTACACGAAGAATGAGATTGTACTAAGGTTTTAGTAGAACCAAATGTTTTTCTTAAGAGGCAACTGCCTAATCTCTTTCAAAAGCATCTGTATTGTTTTGCATTTCAGTCAGTAATCAATGGCAGCTCCAAATTCTCCACAGGCTTAGCAGTATTTCATATCGTCAGCTCCCCAGGACTTCAGCACCTGGTTGACTGGACAGAACTTTCTCCAGTGCTTTAAGAGGTCTCTACCAGAAAGGTGATAATATCAAACTTCGTCATGTGCTTTATTGGCCACTTGGATGTCCCTTGTACAAAAAGCCATGGAAGTCTATGTCCGTGCTTGTTTTAACGTATTTCTCTTCTTTTGGATTTTAAAGAAGCCTCCAGGGACTTTTAATAATTGTCCTCTCTTCGCTATGAGTTAGAAGTATGGTCTCCAATTTTGTGCCTTGATTTTTCATTCTAACCATCATGTCCATATCTGTTAGAAAGTGTATTAGTTTTAGTAATGTAAAATTTATCATGTCTTCTGACAGTGACTTTTCTTGAACTTTAGAGAAAACTTTGTTTCAAAATTGAAAAATAGTCTAATGTTTTCATATCTATTTATTACTCATCTATGTTTATTTTGAGGTCTGTCTCTACAAAAAGACCTCCAATTCTTAATATATTCAGAGTGTGTGTGTGTGTGTGTGTGTGTTTGTGTGTGTGTGTGTGGTCATATGGAATTTGATCTCATATATACAGTAGGTAACCACTTATACAGTGAAGAGACAAAACAGCTTTGTTCTTCACGCTGTCCTTTTACTTGTCTTCCCTGCCCATTCTTTGTCTCCTGACAACCATAATCCTCTCTTCATTGTCACAGTTTTGTCCTTCTGAGACTATCATATAGATGGATTCACACAGTGTGTAACCTTTTGTTTTTTGCCTTTTTAAATTAAATATAATGCCAGAGGGATCATTTTGGCTTGTTGAATGTATTAAGAGTTCATTTCTATTTATTGTCAAGTGAGATTCCATTGTAGGGATGGGCTGGAGTTTGTTTAACCAATTACCCTTTGGGGTACATTTATTTTGTTTCAAATTCTGTGCTCTTATTAGCAAAACTGCCACAGATATGCAGGGACAAGTTTTTGTGTGGGTATGAGTTTCCATTTCTCTGGGATAAATGTCTAAGAGTGTGATTGTTGAGATGTGAATTAAGTGTAAAATTAGTTTCATGAGAAACTGCCAAACTTTTCTGAAGGCACTATACCATTGTACACACACACCAGCAATGTATGACATGTGCAGTTTCTCAGCAATGGATCACTTTTTAAAAAATTCAGCCAGTCTAGAAGATTTGCTGTGGTTTCTCATTATCGTTTTTATTTGTATTTCACCTCACATCATTTCATGTGGTTTCATTATTGCAGTCTTTCTTTTGTGAAATATCTGTTCAAGTACTTCCCCATTTTCTAACTAGGTTGCTAATTTTCAAGATTTTTATCAGATATATATTCTAAAATATTTTTATGTTTTATAAAAGTTATCTTTTCATTCCAGTATGTATTGAGAAAGTTTGAATTTTGATAAAACTTAGTCTATCAATTCTTTCCTTAATGAATTATGTGCGTGGGGTCCTGTGGAAGTCAATGAATAATTTTTAAACTATGTATAATGTGGGAGATTAGGTTAGGAGTTCTTTTTTTGTTTATATCTATACAGTTGTTGCAATACCATATATTAAATTGCCTCCATTAAATTGCTTTTGAATTGTCAAAATGATTTAGGCACATTGTGTATATCTATTTCTGGGTTCTTCCTTCTGTTTCATTGATCTATATGTTAGTTACCCTCCCAAATGCCACCCTGTTTTGATTACTGTATTTGTATAATCATGTTTAACAAAACATGGAGTCCTTATCTTTTTATCCTTCTAATTTTATCCATATTTATTAGACATGAGAATGATGAAATTTACACTACCAGTGGTGACAAGTATAGTAGCAAATTTTTACTCTGAAAAATTGTCCAAAAGCTGAGGAAATGGAGGCATGAACTTCATAAGGAGATAGAGATATAAGAACAACTAAAGCAGACCTTCACTGTATGATACTAGGTAGATATCCACCCCTGAGGCAAAAGTCTACACTTCATTCTCGGGCCTAGAGCCTACAGATGTCATTGAGAGGAGAAAAATTTATTTGAAAAAAGGGAACTTAACCAAGGTTGTTTATAAACTGAGAATGCTGTGGCTTCCCACTTCTCACTGCCTACCTGGCTTTTGGAATTCTGGTCGGTAAGCCTATATACTTCCTAGACAGGAAAGAGTAAACAAGAATCTTGTTCTTGCCAATTTCTGAGAACAAGTGCCAATTCAATAACTGCATCATGGGTTTCTCAGGAATTTTTATTTCTTTTCTTGTGAATTTCCAGTAGCTATTTTCTGTTTCTGTGTCAGTTAGATAATTTTCTAACAATGCTGATTAGTCAAATGTTATTACATAAAACATTTGGTCTTTCATATATGGCTTTAAGACAAATCTCTTAATCTATTATTTTCTTTATAATATCTGAGAAAAGTAGTATTTCCAGGTGAGATCTATAAATATGGTCTTTTTTATCATTTTCTTACTGTCGAAACTGGTGTTATTTTCTAAAGAAACTTATTTAGAATGTGGTTTCTGCTTATGAAATTAGATAATTATGTGCTTCACAGATTAGTATTGGTCTTTCTGACAGGCTTACATAGAGGAAAAACTCCTTGGCAATTAATTTTCTTTAAATCAACCCTTTGGTATCCTAATCTGAATTTGCCTTGTGTGCAATGAGGGATATAATAAGTGCTTGATATTTTCATTTTTCCCTTTTTCGTCCCCTACACATTTCCATTGTTGTGTTATTCACCCTTTGAATCAAACAAAAGTGCTGAGGTCTCATCCTGAAAATCAAGTCAGAAGGTTGTTTGGTTCAAATAATTTATAATTATTTTTCTGCTAATTCTTTTCCTTTGGAAACAAAAATACTTTTGGATTTTTTTGCACTATTAATATCTAAGTTATTTTTTTTATAAATTGGAGCTTCCTATGGAATGGAAGAAATGTCAAAAGTGAATTTAAACATACAGTACCATTTTTTCAATAGAGATGAAATCAAGTGTGTTTTCCTCCTAGGAAAGAGTTAGATAAACTAAACAATCTGAGTACTCACTACTCATCAAAAATAGGAGATTTTAAAACGGATATAGAGGAGAGTGAAGAGATAGTGACAGAAGTACTAAGGGAAGAAAGATCATCAACAGATGAAGCATCTACTTTATCAAGAACAGTAAGTTTTTTATATTTAAAAATAAAAAGTAGTGATTTTAGTTTTGAGCTCTGAATAGTACATTTTCTTTTGGCAATTAAATAGAATTTAGTCAATTTTCTGCCTTTATCAATTTTCGATGACTACACAACAAATGACATAAAGTTAGTGGCTTAACATAGTACTCATTTCCTATTGAAATGTTTCTCTGTCAGAAGTCCAGGCAATATATGATTCAACTGGTTCTTCTGTTCCAGGTCTGGCAGTATAAAACCAAGATGCCAAAACCCCTGTGTTTCTCCCTAAGGATTATGGAATGAACTTGCTTTCAAGGTCTTTCAGAGTTGACAAGATTCAATTCTTGTTGTTTTATAACTGATGATATTGTTTCCCTGATGGCTGTCACTCTGAGATCTCTGGTCTGGAGGCTGCCTGTGCTCTGGCTGGTGGCACCTTCCATTTGCAACATCAGCTGTAATACGTTGCATATCTCTCATGCTTGGAACCACTCTGACCTTCATTGTGATTTATCTGTCCTGAAGATGAAGTTTTCTTCTGCCATGTCTCATTCATTATAATAATGGAAAAGTAAATTACATAAAATGGTAAAATATATAAAATACATTAAAGGAAACAACACAATTCTCTGTCAGTTTTCATACCTAGAATTATGAAGATCTTTTGTCACTTTCTCTCATAAAGATCTTTAGTTATATCTCATTAGAGTTTATTATTCTATAACTGTTAATTGGTCTAGAATATGTTAATGGCTTGGGAGTCATTTAGATATCTTTTTACATACAATAAAACCTGCTCGTGATTTTGCTTCATATATTAGGTGACTTTTTTTCTCTTTCTACTAATTTATAAGAATTTGTTGACCATAACAGACATTAGCTATTTTAGATTACATATGCTAAAAATTGCTTCACTTTATCTTGCTTCAGTTCTTTACAATAAATTCATTTTTTTGTTTTTTCTTATAGATATATGTTTGTAATACATAATGAATACATTTGTTGTGGAGAATTATTCATATACACATCACATTTAATCCAATTTTACCTCCTCTTGTCCCGCTCCTGTGCCCCTATCTCTAGAACTCTTTTTCATCTTTGCAAAATCTAAACTTCGTTTTTCATATCATCAAGCTTTGTTTTGTATTTGGCACTTTAAAATATTTATACTTTGAAATTCTCATATAAGAGATACCATACAATATTTGATCTGATGTGTCTGACTCGTTACCTTGAGCATTATGGTCCCAAAGTCCTGTCATTTTCATACAAATGACTCACATTTTCCCTTTCTGTATGGTGGAGTGCTACTCCATTGTGTATATATACCACATATTTAAAATTCATCCACCTGTTGATGAGTATATAGCCTCTTCCAATATTTAGCTATTGTGAATTGCACTGCCATAAACATGGGCGTGCATATATCACAGTACTATAATATCTTAAACTCTTTTGAGAAGATACCTAAAAAGGTATAGCTAGGTTGAATGGAATTGCTATTTGTAATTTTTATGAGGAAACTCCATGCTGATTTCCATAGTAATTGCAAACCTTACACTCAACTAATAATGGAAAAGTGTTCCTTTCCACCCACAATCTCACCAGCATTTGTTATCCTTTGAATTCTTGATGCAAGCCACTCTTTCTGGAGTAAGATGGAATCGCTGTTGCTCTGATTGGAATTTCTGCAGTGGCGAATGTGTTAAACATTTGCACTGTTTTTGAGGAATATTTATTCAACTCAGTTACCCATTTTCTACTGGGTCTTTTATTTGGGGTGTCTAATTTTTTGGAGTTTGTCATATATTCTCAATATTAACCCTTTTATGAGGTGTAACTGGAAAAAAAATTTTTTCGCATTCTGTAGATTGTCTCATGACCCTGTTGGTTGTTTCTTTTCTGTGCAGAAGTGTTTTGGTTTGATATACTTGCATTTGTTGTTTGTTAATGGTATTTCTTGTCCAATTTCGGTTCTGTTCAGAAAATCCTTGCTTATGGATACATCTTTAAGAGATTTTCCAGCAGAAAAAGTACTTCTCCTTTGATATCTACGTCTTTGATCCATGTGGATTTTATTATAGATAAGGTGAAAGATATGTGTCTAGATTCATTCTTCTGCGTGTGCATGACCACTTTTCCTAGCATCATTTGTTAGAGAGGCTGTATTTTCTCCAGCATATGCTTGGGGTCTGTTTGTTAAAGATTAGAAGACTGAATGTGCCTGGGGTTGTTTCTGCATCGTCAGTTGTGTCCCATGCACTGAAATGCCTTTTTGTGCCTGCATCATGCTGTTTTTGTCCCTAGAGGTTGTTAATATACACTAAAATCTGGGATTGTGATGCCAACTGCCTTGATCTTACTGCTCATGGTTGCCTTGGCTATTCTGGGCATTTATTGGTTAAGTAATAATTTTAGAATTGCTTTCTCTAAATCTGGGAAGAGTGCTGCTGGTATTTTGATTTAAATTTTATTAAATATCAGTTTCCAGTAATATGGTCATTTTAACAGTATTGGTTCTTCCTACCCTGGAACAGGGGTATATTTCCATTTTCACATGTTTTCTTTGATCTCTATTGTCAACGTACTATACTTTGTCTTATAAAGTTCGTTTACTTCCTTTGTGACATTAATTCCTAGGCATTTTTTTGAGGCCACCATAAACAGGATTGCTTTCCTGATTACTTTCTTGGTGAGTTCATCGTTGATGCATGGGAACGCTGTCAATTTTTATAATAGTAGTTTTTTTTCTCTTATTACTTTGCTGAATTTGTTTCTTAGCTCTAGGAGTCTTCTGGTGGAATATTTTAGCTCTTGTGTGTGAAGGATCATATATGTGAATAAGAATACTTTGACTTGTTCCTTTGCTATCTGTATCTCTTGTTTCTTTCTCTTGCGTGGTAGCTCTGACTAAAGTTTTGAAAACTATTGAACAACACTATTGCTCCTGATTTTAGAAGAAATGGTAGTGTTTTTGTCATAAATACCTGTTTAACAGGATGATATAAGGTCTTTCTTTATCTATTTTCTTCAGGGTTTTGATCATGAATGGATGATGAAGTATATTTGGACCCCTTGGATTTTGCCAGTTTGGTCATGCTATACGATCTTTTTAATGATTTGTTGCATTCTGTTTGGCAGTGTCTTGTTGAGGCTTTTGCATCTATGTTCTTTAAGGGGATTGGTCTGTAATTTTTTTTTTGTTGTTGTTATTTTTTTAAGCCTTGTCCAGTTTTGATATCAGGGAAATACTTGCTTCCATGAGTGAGTTTAGCAGTGTTCCTTCCCTTTCAATTTCATGGAATAGTTTGAGAACTGGTGCTACATATTCCTTGCAGTTCTGGTAGAATTATGTAGTGAATCCAACTGGCCCTCAAATTTTCTTAGTTGATACAGTTTTCATTACTGCTTCTTTTTCATTGCCTATTATTAGTCTCTTCAGAGTTTCCATAGCCCCTTGAGTAAATTTTGGTAGTTCTTATGTGTCTAGGAATTTCTGAATTTCTTCTAGGTTTTCCTCAGGACTACACTGAAATCTATTATAATTTCACATTTTCTGTTTCTAATTGCATTGATATGGCATAACCTCTTTTTTGATAAGTTTGACTAAGGCTTTATCAATATGTATTCTTTCAAAAAACCAACTCTGATTCAATTTTCTTTGTAGTTTTCCTCACTTTTATTAATTTCTGCTCTGATCTTTGTAATTTCTTTCCTACCTCTAGTTCTAGATTTAGACTGTTTTTATTTATCTAGGAAATTAAACGCATCATTAGGTTACTTTATTGTTTGTTTTTTTGTACTGGGAATCAACCTCAGGACCTTGCACTTGCCATGCAGGAACTTGGGCCACTGAGCTATATCCCCAGCCCACATTAGCTTACTTTAGACTGCTAAATTCTTTTTATGTACTGTTTCAAGGTAAACACTTCCATTTTAGAACAGCTTTCTTGTGTCCCATAGGTTTTGGTATGTCGTGCTTCCATTGTGATTTTATTCTAGGAACTTCATAATTTCTCTCCTGATTCCTTCTGTGAACCCCTCATTATTCAGTAACATATTGTGTGATTTCCATGTTTTTCTGCAGTTTCTGGGCTTTCTTTTGCTGTTGATGTAAAGCTACATTACACTGTGGTCTAATAGCATGCAAAAGATTATTAATTTTTTGTATTTAACTATGTTTTATGGTCTAGGATATGGTCAATTTTGGAAAGGTTCCATCTGTTGCTGAGAATAATATGTACTGTGTTGTTGGATGAAATCCTCTGTAGATATCTATTAAGTCTGTTTCTTCAATGGTGAGGATTGGTATTTATTTGTTGATTTCTGTCTTTTTGACCCCTATGTTATATTGATGTCTGTCCTCTTATGTTCAGTGGGTTTTATTTTAGGAACTTGGGGAGGTTCTTGTTTGGTTACTTGGGATTCAATATGCCTCTTGTACTTGAATATTAAATTTTTGCCATAGAATATGGAAATTTTTTGCTATGACTTCAATAAGCAATTTTTAAATACCCTTTGAGGAATCTTTTAATGTTTCCTTTATTCCTAAAATTCTGAGTTGTTGTTATTGTTTTGAGCTACCTCACAGCTCTTGGATCCAGCTTCCATGGTGTTTCCTTGTTTTGAGGATATCACTGAGAACATCCTCTAAATATCCCCCTTGTCTTCCATTTCTAAAACTCTACCTCACGTTGGTCAAATTCCCTGACCACAATTTCACTGAAGTTTTCATATCTTGTATAGCTTCTTGTTTTCTTTTCATCAATCTTCATTTTAAATGTGGGTGAATGAGTAACACCATTCCCCGAGTCTTTTGCTTTCTTAAATTTGTTGAAGAAATTTTTCGTACCCTGAGAACGTAAAAATACTCTGTGATATTTTATTTTAAATGATCTGAATTCTTCTCTTTTAAATTTCATGATGCTTTTAGATGATACTACATTTAGAAAAGTCAAAATTGGGAGGATTTCCCCCATCTTTATTCTGTTTACAAGTTCTGTT